TTTAAACTCCTCTTGAATCAGGTACATTGATTTCAAATCGTCATGTTTTCATTGCTCCATTTCTCCAATTGTTTAAACTCCTCTTGAATCAAGTACATTGATTTCAAATCGTCATGTTTTCATTGCTCCATTTCTCCAATTCTTTTAATTTTTCTTGAATCAGGTACATCGATTTCAAATTGCATTTTTTCATGGCTCCACTTCTCCACTTCTTTAAATTTCTCTTATAGTAGGATAATCACAAATATTGAGATTGAGATTTCAAACATCTAAGATTATTTACTGTCATTTACTGCACAAACATAATCTGGTTTCTGATGTACACATTTAGTCTGAGTTTTGTATACAAAAGTAAGGAGACTTACTTTCCCTTGTGCTGATACTGGTTGTTGGTCAATAGCTGAAATTTTTTTGAGATTCAAAAACAAAAAGTGAGATAAAACTTCATTCAATTATACTTCCTAAAGTACAGTCCATGTACTTTAGTAATGAAATTCAATGGATCCTCAATGTCAAGATTCCTTCAACTATATAACATCAGAGAAAGATGGTTTTACTGATAAAAGTCTAAACCTATTTCGAAAAGGTAGAATTTCATACCTGTTTTTGAGACCTTATCTGAACAAAACTACAAAATTACATGTGGGCACTTCTTACGCATGTACAGAAAGGTTAGCAGAGGTAAGCAGAATGGTTTAGAGTTACATGTGGTTTAAATGTTTAATACAAAAGATACTGCAAAATTATTAGGAAGTGTTTTTCCATTGGTGAATATAGTTAATTAATGCTGTGAAAAGTAAAATCCAACTCATTAGAGAGATCAATTTATACATAAGGGTCCGTTTGTACAAAAGGTGGATATAAAGTTATCCACCCATTAGATTTTGTGTGGATTTTTCAGTATTTAAAGATTTGTTGTCATGGAGAATGGCAAACAGCCAGTGTCTCAGGGAGATTGCATGACCAAAAGGGATAATGTATAGTTATGCTGTTTACATAAAAAATCTCACTTGTTTTGTTCACCCTGCATAAAGATGGAGACAAAATGATTTTTACCAAAGACTCTCTTGTAGTTGAAACCAGTTATTATTTCCCATTGATTAGCAAAACCCATTTCTCCCTTTCAATTGTGCAATCTTCACCATTTTATCTGACAATGATTTAATTAGCTTTGATTCAATACTTATGCTACATAGCTATTTCAGAAAATGCTTAATGATAAATACAGTTTTTTCCAAGACTACAAAGTATTGTAATTGCAATTAAACTCCACATAAGTCCTTGACTGCAAAAGGTGTACAGTCACTCTGAAAATCATAATTGACTCTTTTGAAAGGCAATAGAATAAACAATAATAAATTTCACATTTTTGGTACATACACTATATTTCAGTATTCAACATTTTCTGAAATAGATGGATAATTATTCAATTAATAAGACCATGAGGTTGAGTGGACTATATTTTTAACAATTAGATCTTGAGGGCGAGTGGATTACGAGCAGATAGCCAATCAGCTTGTAGTCCACAAGGCCAAAAGATCAAATTGTTTTAGTATTACCATACTAGTTGTACAAAAAATAAATGTAATATGTAATAACTAAATGTTTCAAATGTCGCTTTTCGCAAGTCAAGGACTATTGAAAATAGACCCCAAGTAGCATAGCCAATCAGAATACACTATAGGATTTGCAATCCACTAGTATGGTAAATACTAAAAAGTAACTTAATAATATAATATTGATAGTATACCTTTAGATACATTAGCTCCTGTTCTGATTTACAGCCATATTTCTTGTATAAACAGTAACAGAGCAAACTTGCTATTTCACGGCGACAGCACACATCCCTGAAGGCCCCTTCTGATAATGTCTCACCATCCAAGGGGCAATGGGGGTTGGGCTTTCTGTGGTATGAATAAGTTTAATCAGAAACCTATAATGGACTTGAAACGTGTAATGCCATGCCAACCGTTGGAATATTCAAATCGAATTTGCATCTCATTTCCTTATTTGGAACAATTACATTTACTCTATAGCCAACCAGAACTGGCCTTAAATCTCTTATCCAATGGCTGAATTTTCCAAATATGGTCATAATGTTCGTTTTCAAATTTGTAATGAGCTTTGAATATTCCGAAGCTTGGTACCAAAGAAATGTACAGGCGTTACACGTTTCAAGTCTATTATAGGTTTCTGGTTTAATGTGTCAGCTGGGTTTTCAATTAGGAAATTTCCAGGAGATCAATTGTTGCTCAATGTTTTTTAAGCACATATATTTGCCTTCTTCCATAGAAATCTTTGTATCAAAACCCAATAGATCTTAAGCATCAAGTCAATAACAAATCGTTGACCAATTATCATGAACATTGCTTTATAACTTAATAAAAACATTCACCTGTATACTAGTTTCAGCTGTTAATAAATTTATAATATCACATTAATGTAATATAAATAATCTAAAATTCAAAATAAAGTTATTTTGCAGAACAGTAACAGATTCAAGTTTTCATTTTTAAGGGCCTTTCAATTGAAAAACAAGTTTTCAATAAACCCTTTTAGCGATCTCTTTTACTTTGTGTTAGTGTCAAAACCATGTAATAAATTCTTTTATTCACTAACAGCCCATGCAAATGCAAGAGATCTGTGAGTCTAGAAGACAATGAAAATAGTTTTATCTAAATTTTGAACACAATTGAGGCTAACACAGCATAAAAGAGATCGCGAAACTCAACTATTCCAGGACTTTTCAAGCATTTCAAGGAGTAGCACGAAGCCTTATTGATATCATACATACAGCCAATCTTCAAAAGGTTGTCTACCTCAATAAGAAAAATCCAGTGTTCCAACTGTCATATGCCTTGATATATAATCAGTACATTTCTGCATGTGGAACATTCTCCAATGTCTATATAGAATTTTGAAAATGCCTATAGTTCCATCTCTCCTCTAAAACACACCTGTGACATTCTGGACTAATTAACTAAGTAACGTCATAAGGCAACTGAAACATTGGAAATGTGGTGAACAACATTTTCAAAGTCAGGTGTAACATATCAGGATGTTAGAGGTAAGGAACCTGAATTTCAGAAATCTTTAAAACCATACATTTGTAATTATTATATAGATGATTTCCAACACGTGCTCTGATTGGCCAAAAAAGTGTGGTTTATGAGAGTATAAACCACGATTGTGCGCGAGCGATTTTTGAAAAAGGCAACATAACGGATTTTTGTTTTCGCTCAGAATCTATATGATAAAACAAATAAATAAGTCTCAGCCTGTGGTTTATACTGTGATAAACGCATGCTTGGTATTTGAAACACATGAGAAAATGTCAAGAAGCACGAGCTGAAAGCAAAATAAATGGACAAAATTAAACTTAATTAATCAATTTGTCATAGAGAAATAGAACTTATATTTTTCATTGGAGAAGGAATAGTTAAAAAGACAAAAGGCAATCACCCGGGTTGAATGCTTTTGATTGCCTTTTTAAAATATTCCTTTAAAACTAAAATGTTCTATTTTTCTATGACTACATTTTTGTGATTAGGAGTAAGGTAGAATGGGTGATTCATCAATGACAATCTACCATAATTTCGGAAGCAGATGATAGAAAATACTCAACAAGTGAACTCAGGCTAATTAACAATTAGACCTCGAGGTCGAGTGGACTACGAGCTAATAGCCCATGAGGTTGAGTCYGCGAGGCYGAATGGGCTATTAGCTCGTAGTCCACGAGGCCGAGAGGTCTAATTGTTTTAGTATAAACATACTAATCGTTCAAATAATGAAAACAAAATTGAAATATCCTTAAAATAATTTATTAATGAGATGCCGACATTTTGATTTTCCCGCGAGTGCTCTATCACAAATTAGGCCATTAGTAGAGTAGCCAATCACAGGGCAGTATGAGTGATAGACCGTTAGTATGTTTATACTAATAACTTATAGACCAATATCTATATTCATTGCAATCACGTCAGTTTCAATTTTAGCAAAACACCAAATCGACAGCACTATTTATTGAAAGCACTAAGTATTGAAAGATCTTGGCACAAGTAGCTTTCCTCAAACATTAAAGCTTAATCCCATTATGAAATAGCTTTCACATCATATGGATTTACAGTCATTTGAATTAAGCTATGAATACCAATAATATATTAATATTAAGAAATATAAAACGGCGTGTGTGTCTCTGTCTTCTGATATAAACACAGTGAGAAAAGCAAGAGAGAAGCAATCTTAGAAACACAAGCGGCTGTTTTATATTTCTTTTATAAAATTTTTCTGCATTTTTCGAGCGAAAGACAAATCTTGCTGGTAAGCTGTGTCCCTGTCCTCTGATATAAACACGGTTGTCAGCCAATCAGACCATGCATTATATATCAAGAATTTCATAATATGTGATATAAACACACAGGGCTGCCATTCACATGAAACCAGTAACCAACAGCAGCAACTACCATCTTTCAATCCCCTTTTTTTATACACTGTTTTTTAAGCTTTATCTATTTATAAGAGGATAAACGAGACGTTCACTTAGTCCGATATGGAGCCGATTTATATTTCGCAGGCAGCCCAAGCTAATATATTGAAAGGGTCATATGCCGACCTCGTGATACTAAAGTCCGATTTTTTTGTCAATAAAAATTACAAAAAAAAACTTTTTAGTTCTAGAAAATTTTTGTTAATTTAATTATAAAACTCAGATTTAAAGTGGCGTTTCTTTCGCTAATTTTTGCCGACAATATTCTAGAAACCATTAAATTTTCGTGACATGATCACGAGTTGGGCTGCATGAGGTCTTAAAAAACATGGCGGCCACTACCTAAATGACAATTTCAAGACTTTTAGTCGAATAGAAAGAGAAATTAACCAAGAAAATCCATCAGTGAACTTAATTTAAACTAAAAACTGTGGCGACTAAAGAACTTTGCAGCCTGCTTTCGGGAGTTTTGGTAGCAATTTCGTTGAGTATTTCATTTTAAACATTAGCTTTCTTTTAATAAGCGAGTTAGCTTATGTAATAAGAACTTAGACTTTACCACCAAATTACACGAAGAACAACAACATATGGAAAATCTACTAAGTAAAAAACGGTTAATATGCAAATATGTCGACCATAGTTTTACCCAACAGCAAAGGGCGCGAAAAATCAAACGAACAAACGGTTGGATATGAAAATCTTTGGATGTACACAGGCTACTTTTGGAGCGAGACTTGAACTTCGCATTTGAAGCTAAAGTCCAGTTAACAAAATATAACCTATACGGAAAACTTGTTGACGCAACTCATTGTGTTTAAGAACTACAGAGAAACTTTGTCTCTTCGATATAAGTAATACTTTTAAGTTAAAGTGTAACGGCTATGTTACTTAGCTTATTCAACTGACCGCAATTCTGGTTCGATGCAATTAGCACAGAAGCGATGGCCACATTGAGTTTGCATGGCGTCTTGCAGAGTCCTCTTGCACAGTGGACATACATATTTCTCTTCTATAGGTTTTACAAATTCAACATCATTTCTAATAACTTCCATCATCGACCGTTTGGCTTTTTGAACATGTCGCCAAAACGAGTAGCATTATGGGAAAGTGCATTATGGGAGACAGGGGCTTTCCCCGTGAAATCAGTACGAGTGCAAAAAATAAAATAAAGAAATGAATATAAAAAAGAAATGAATAACCAAGGCAAAAACCAGCAAAGGAGGAAAAAATAAATACAACAAAATAAAGAATCTCGGAATTCAATCCTGTTAATTAAAATATGATGAAGTCAGCTGAGGATGCATCCATAGTCATACCTATAGTAGTGGGCCTTCCCGTGTCTTTTCACATATTGCACTGTGAAACTGCTGGTAGACAGGAAATTATTTTTAAAAAATCAATAATGATATCACATACATACACACATATAGCCACAGACAACAAGTCAGTAGAGTTCAATGTTGTTCATTCGTCGTGTTACCAATTTCCGATATATTTCAAAATCGGAAGTCAGTCAATTGTTTCTACCTGGCAGACCTGGCAACGCGAACTCTATTGCCTGGTTGTTTCGACCTAATAGGGTCTCATCAGTGTGGCGTAGGACATTATAGAGACCTACCTATCACGTGTATCAGGCCGGTAAATCTTCTGGGAGAATGGTCTATTTTTGCAATCATCATTAGTCACGTCCACAACCTGGCGATCACTCGATAAAATTGATCACTGAGATTCACCAGTAACAATAATCAACATACAACAACACACAACATGAAAAGTAAATGCACCAGGATTATAGTTGTACATATCACTCAGTACTGAACTATATTTCAAAAACCTCCTTCTGTAAGCATAAACCTGGTGTCTATCTTCCAATTTCAATATTATTGAAAGACGAGTATTTGTCACGGCAAGAAGAAATTACAAATTGAAAGAAAGCAGGAGGTGAAGTTACCGTGGTCTAATGTTGGTGGGATTGGGACTATTGCTTTCTTTCCTTTTTGTCTTAGTTTCACTTTAAAAGCGCACTTTCCACAAACTATTTGTGGCTTTTTAGTGTTTGGAAATCTCAACCATTGTTAATGTCTCAGCTCACCGTACATTCGAGTCCAGAAATATTAAAAATAATAATGAACAAGATGTAATAACTAAAGACTAACAATAAAGTTACTTTTCGATGTTCTTAGACATGAAATGCGATATTTCAAAATTTGCAGCTAAGTACATTCAACCGCGATGCAAAAATCGGCGATTTTGCTCAACCGAGCGATATCTTCACAGCCGTAAACCGGCAACCGGCCAATAGGACCCATTCAAATCTCGTCAAAGCAACACATACGCATTTGAAACGCGTATTCTAAATTAAAATTTCCCAGAATTAACTTGTGCCAGACAGGATATATAAAAATGTGCTTTCGAGCACTTTCTAAACTTGCAACGAAGCACATTTTTTCTGGTCCATGTCGTCCAATCAGAATGTTTGATGTCAAGCTGTTTTAAACTTGCATATAAGCACATTCCTTTTGAATCGATCGGTCCAATGAGTACGCTTTATAAACACTGATGTCACGACGCTGTCTCTAGCCAATGTCAAACAAGCTCTGAGCGAGTTCTGTCATGTGCTACGCCAGCGGATGCAGATCATAAACAACTAAACAGGTAAGCTTCTTTCTATAATGCATAGCATTCTTTATACATTAATTATCAACCCTACCCTTTCCGAAAAAAGAAAATTACATAATTTCAAAAATTCCATAAATCTAAAAAAATTCATACGGTAGAACTAAGACAACTAAGACTGTTCTCCGGGCCCAAACCACTGAAAACATGTAACAATTTTTGTGGTGCTTAGCTAAATATTAAAACCATTTCATCATTTTCTTCAGCTGCTTAGATAAATTCATGACATATTTTATAAGAAGCGATCTTCTTACCCCAGAATCGTTTGAAAACAAACGTAGCAAAGTCTGTGTCCACACTCAGTTTGTACCGGGTCGTTCAACGGTCTTTTACAGACCGGGCATCTGAATCTCTTGTCCAACTCTTCTTTGAATTCGACGATCGATAAATCAGCAAACGGAACTTCGTTTCGCTTTGATAATGCCATTCTTGCTTTAAAAGATATAAATGTCGAGCTGAAGTCACAAATTTCATTGGAAAAGAAAACTGAATACTGTAACCATTGTCATTTTACAACCTATTTTCTAGAAAGGGAAGAAGGGACTAAACAGATATATATCGAATCGACAATCCAGAAAAGTGAATCACTTGAGGGTGTCGCATTCGGAGTCACCAGTTTGGGGGAAGTCCCTAAATCAGAAACACAGTTTGAAAAGGGAATTTCCCTAATTAATGATTCATGAGTCTAGTGCCAGTGGGTTTTAAAGTCATGTCATATCCGGTGACAGCTCACTTGCTTGGGAAAAGAGAAGAGTTCGTATTGAATGAGCATAAAATCTTATTTACTGTCCATGCATGGCATAGCCCGATCTTTGCAGAATTAGATTATCATATTCAAGTAAGTGGTAACTATAATTTTCTATCATGATTGAATTCTCTTTATTCGACGTCAACTCGAGGCAGAAGTCGGACAGTACGATCGAAAGTTCTCGAAGCAGTAACGAATGTTTACATTCTGTGATCGGCCAATTTCCGTGAATTTATTAATAGCATTCGAGATTCTTTCGGCTAGCCGACATGCATACCTTATACCTCGCTTGCTACTAGTCACGAGTTTACAGATTGAAGTGCGGACACTGAAGTTATGAAAAATTTTGTTTTCACATATCCAGTACATTGTTTTCAGAGTCGAGTAACTATGTACTAGAACTACTAAATGGTGGGGTCGAAAAAGATTACAACTGTGGAAAACGACCTATGCGAAGCAAAGCAGGAGGCGAAACATAATGAAAATCTTCGGGCGGCAATAGACAGCAAGACCGAAGATGTCGAGCGAGAGGTAGAAGAAAACTCAAGGCAAATTCGACAGATCTTGGTAAATATGATATATATAATCGGGTAATAATCATTTTTTGATATATAAAAGAAAATTTATTTGGAATGGATGATTGATATTCGTTGATGGACCGACATCGGTATGGGAGAATATTGTTACGGGGCTTGAAATACATGGGTATATTGGCTTACTTATAATCAACGAAAGGAAACGAAATGAGAATCTGCCTCATGCAACGAAACGAAACGAGAATCTGTATTTAACGAAACGAAACGAGAATCTGTATTTAACAAAACGAAACGAGTGCCTGTGTTAAACCAAACCTCATCGTTAGTCTGAAAGTCTTTCGTTGTTTATACTCCTACAATGGAACAAAATGAAAGTATGAATAGACTTATTCTATAATTGTAGCGATAAAAGTTCACGTATAAGCGAACAGCTTGCAAATTGTCATGCATCCATATCACTCGCACCGTCTTAAGAAAGAATTCCTGTTTAAGACCTGTCTGTACAGTGATCGATCTTATGTGTGATGAGCTAAATCAACGTTATACCTTTCTTTCATCTTAGAATGCAACTGATCATGCACATACGAACGATGGTCCCGAAGTACATCAAGATATCAGAAAAGAAGTAGAAGATCAAAGAACAAGACTTGATGCTGGGGTACTATCAATCCACCAAAATGCCCCAACAGGACAAGTAGCAACTGCAAGGTACGCTGGGTACTAAATAGTTATAGCTTGATTTAGTCGCTAATATAACTCTTATGAATTAACAGAAACTATAGGACCCTATAGCTACTGTAGCTTTCGCTTTGAGACGTGAAACTGAGCAGCAGATAATGAGCATATAAAGCAAACTGGACTGGCACCGCGAGCACTATAATGATTTATTCTGGAACAAATGATCATTTCTTCGAGAATTAGTTTCCATCATAAAAAAGAGCAGTTTTTAGCAGTAATTTGGTCGAGTATATATCATAGCAATTTGATTGGGAAGGTATGAGTCTGACTAACTTCTCCCTGGCCCAACATTTTTGCCATTAATAAATCCTAGCTCCATTGATCAAACTTCAAGCTTCGTAAGCCAGTATAAAATGTATTAATCATTATTTTAGAAGACAGGGTGTTATTTTTCAGCGGAGGCGGCGTTAATGTCGACCAAAATCCATCCGACATTGAAAAACATGCAAATGACAACGCGGATGAGGACGATGACCAGATCCCGTTTTCTGTAATGTGTTCTAGTGTGAGTATGCAATATGGGGCAATGCAGTATCGCCATAAGTTGAAAGCATTGATGGGAATTCCAGGCACTTTTGAGTTGGACGCTCGCCTGCTACCTCCTCCCCAGGCAACTCTTTTTTCCGTGTTCGAGCTTCCTTTATGATAACAGTCATTTTGAACGCTAGGGACTAGTGACGAGAAATGAAAAATTCTTTTTCTTCTGGCTACCAGCAAAAAGGGAGGAGCGTTCACGAGAATGACATTTAAAAACGATAAATTCTTCCGATTAGGCCTTTTCTTTAGAAATAATGCACTCCTAAAGGTAAAGCGCGCAGGTCCCTCGTGTAGACTAAGGTACTCATACCTTGGTCAAATCGAGGTCACAATTGTATTTTGTAGGATGAAGAGCAGCAAAGTTTCAATGAAGAGGCTTCCAAAAAAGAACCTGAGGTTGGGAATGAAGCTATAAAGAGACAGTTAGATCGTCATGAAGCCTTTCTATCTGACCAGAAAAGAAAAGTCTCCTCGCTTCATCACGGCCACGATGGCACATATATTTGGAAAATTTACGACTTCAGTCGAAGGCAACAAGAGGCTGCCGCTGGGAATACACTGTCCGTATGTAGTCCCAAATTCAGGGTTGGCCGTTTTGGATACACGTTTTGTGTCGTTCTTTACCCTAACGGCGAATCAACTGGAACTGGAACTCACCTTTCACTGTCCTTTGTAATCATGAAAGGTGATGGTGACAATTTTGTCCCGTGGCCTTTCCGTCAAGAGGTTACCTTTGAATTGCTGGATCCTCAAGATGATCGAAATACCGTTACAGATTCTTTTTGTCCAGATCCCAACAGTTCCAGCTTCCAAAAGCCAACATCAAGCATGAATATAGCTCGTGGGTGTCCGAGGTTTGTTTCCCAGGAAAACCTTCAAAAAGGATCGTCGTACATTGATGACGATACCATTTATATTAAAATAAAAATAGATACATCAGGTCTTTAGGCTTTCAAAACGTCAGACTGAGAAGGATTTATCAAGGCAGCCATGTTGACTCTACTGTTTCATTGGTGTTTATTGTTTATTCAAATACAAAATGGTCGCCGATATTTTGAATCCCAAGAAGATACCTGATTTGTATCTATTATAACACACTACATTAGTGTCCTACATAAAACTAATCTGAATAACTTTAATTTTTATTTTTTAGTCATTTATTTCGGAAACGTACTCAGAAATACATGGATGTTCGCTCTCTAGAGTTCTATGGAGCGTTCGGAGCCTAATGCACCCGCATTAAAATAGGCTTAGCGTCCTGTCCGTATTAAGTCGCTAGGAAAACAATGAGAAAAAGTAAAACAACTATTAATTTTATGGGCGTTGCCTAGTGCTGGAATGGTGTGCTGTTGAGAGAACTCGCAACGCACCAAGTCAAAACGGACAGGTACTAAACCAAATTGTTTGACAACACTTATCCGTATTCGCAGTCTGTTCAAGCAGACTGCTAATCTGGATTACGTGTGAAAGCAATCAGATGCGGGACAAAGATTTCTGGCTACATGTGGACAAGGATGAAAAAAACCTTTTTTCATCCAGTAGTAGTAAATTTGGATCACTGGTATACATTCTACGAACATGAAGTGGTTTAAGGGCTTCAAATGTTACTTGGGTTTTTAAAGCCATTCAGTCATTGAGTTTTTTTTAACTCGGCTTCGCCTCGGACTAAAACAACGGTCACTGAAAATGCTAACAATTCTTATTGTTAGCCTTGAAATAGTTCAAGGTTGTTCGTTCTACATGTATCAGGACGTTATTTTCAAATCGACAACGTACATGTTAGTCTCCTCGCAAAACACGGCTGCGAGCAGACTACGTACACGTAGCAGTAACTTATACAGCGGTATATTTAATCGAAGTAAGATTGATCCAGTCCTTACACTCACTTACATTCAATTTACTAACTACCTTTGATGTTAATATCTTGTACAACAGCTTGGTATTTAAGAGAGTAAGTGTTGCTATTTATGCAATTTTTGAGAAATGCTAGCTATATTATACCATTACGTTTCGCTGCCGGCATATGCAACCATTAAATCGTCATTATCATTTAAGTTTGTCGAGGCTCAAGTTTGTTTAGATAAATTAAATACTCTTGTCTCAGTCGATTTATTTGAAAACTGACTTGATATAAATGCTGTTATGTCGGCAACGAAAAGTAGTTTTATATTTATTGGCATTCAGTATAAATAGCTTTGATGAATATATTGGCCAAACTATATTCTATATAAACGAGGGATTATAGTTTACAAGAATAAAATATATTTTCCCTAATCTCGTCAGCCTTTTCTTGTGTTTGTATGGTGTATGTAGGAAAGAGTTTTGCCAACCGGTTCATTCGGAAAAGCCCGTCTACGAATAAAGAGACTGCGTACCAAATACCCCGCGATTTTACCCGATTAAGTTTCACGAATTTAGTGCTTTGACTCTTTGAAATAGATAACTACTAATTGACTCATTAGTTAACTAGTTCACGCTTATGAGTGTCTTTACTTTCGGTGTTAGTATAGAGCCGACGCACCCAATCCGTGAAACTTAAATAGTACAAAACAGTAGCACTTTTTGGTAAGTACTTTTTTACGGAACTTAAAGAAAGAAACAATGCAGCGATACTCGTCTAGCAAAAACCAAGTGCATAGTGGCTTATTCTTATTTATTCAGTTGTCTCGAKTTATCATATAGCTTTATTTGTAGTAATTATTACATCCAGGCCTTAAATATATCATACAATCGTCGCATGATAACACATCATAATTTATATTGAAAACATTCACGTGTTGCTGACATTTGTGAGCGGTCTATAAAAGTTATACATGGACGATGCGACTCAATAATTTAAATATATGTACTAGACCTCCCTTCAAAGGATTATGRGAATTGATTTATRGCKCATGCGCACTATTCTCCRCCTTCAGTGTTTGTACTAGTAACRGATTCTCGAGCATCTTGCCGCCATTTCATTCTTCGGTTTTGAAACCAAACTTTYACTTGGTTATCGGACAGTCCTAACATTGAAGCGAGCTGGTGTCTATCAGTTTTAGTTAAGTATTTTTGAACTTGAAATCTCTTCTCCAGTCCCTTACGTTGCAGGTTGGAAAAAACCGCTCGAGTCCAGGGCCTACGAGGTCTGCGAGTTTTGTTTTGACTGGAAGAGTCCTGRGTATAGTGTTGGGAAGACACCGAAGAMGTAGAASTTGCATAATGAGAATAGAAGTTTGAATGACCTGCGAAATAAAGCAATGAAATGGGATTAAAAATATTGCATCTCAATGTGCGCTATAACGGATCTTGTGCGCATGAACAATACCTGATAATTTATTCGGGCTAACATAATACGCTGCACTTGGATGAGTTAAACAGCTGCTACAAGAATTACCCCCAGCAGTGTAACACGTGTAAGGCGGTGTCCAGTAAGTTCCTGGTATCAGTTGGTAATATGTTTCTGAAATTGAAATAAATTTGAATCTAAAAATAATGATAGAAGAATTATGAAAGTCGACCTCGACAATAGTTCTTAACGAAGATCGAAATATATATTGCAATCATTCATTCAGACATCATGACCATTCCGGCATAATTCAAGGAAACACCATAAAAGATGCCGAATAAATACGAATAATAATAACAACAGGAGTGGATCCACAACTTCAAAATGGCGGAAAATTTTCGCGTGAATTTGCCTTCCTTCATCAACTAAAGTGCTCAATCGAAAATACAAAATGGCAAATTGAAAAACTATGACCATCAAATGTGCTTTGCCAGGGTTAATTCATGTTTCTTGATGTATTTTTATATACTAGTCAAAGCTGAACAAAACTGCAAAAGGGGGGAACAGCCCCTTCGCCCCCTAAATCCGCCCCTGAATATTTAAAGCAAAGTTAGCTATATTTTAGATTTTTATTCAAATACTCAACATGAGCATGAAGCGGACCTCGTGCTCATATTTTATATGTTATATCAGAAGTACATAACCAGAACTGGTTATGTACTTCTGGTTATATGCGACAAGTTTCATTCTTCATTCACGAAGGAAACCTAAGGGACCGCGGAGCAGTCCAATAATTTTTCCGCCATTTTGAATTTTCTTAAATATAGAAGCGAAGAGACAACTTATGAAATTTCACCATATATATTTTACATGTATAAAGATTGTGTAAAACCTGAGTGTGAATAATGAAAATTGAAGCTTGTTTGCGAAGTCTTTGGGATTTTATTGAATATCTCAAAACGCTTGAAATAACATTTCCGCGAGAGACAAGAGAATACCCCGGACCCCCCTAGTACCTCCTGTCTAAGTCATCCTCTATATCCCCCCCAAACAAATTCCTGAATATGATTGTATGTAATACAACGGACAAGGACAATTATTTGTTAGCCCTTAGCCAATCATGAACGAGTGTCTTTAATAAATAACAAGATATCAATTGGTTATTATGTCATATCATCCGTTATAACTGAATTGTTCTTATTTAACGATGACTAATTTTGCTTTTCTACCATTGCAGTAAATGGTTTTCCAATTTTGGCGGAAATTTCATTCCAGATGCTTTGTTACGAACATTTAATAAAACCGCGGTTATTATACCTTTTTCAACGATATTTTTGATTATATGCGAATTTTGTCAGTGTACGTTGCTACCTATCTTAAATAATAAACAAATTCTGTCTTTTTGATAATGCATGGTTTGACTGTATAGAGTATAACACATGGCCTGGTGTTTGCCATGTTCAAATTTTCMATGCTAGATAATAATCTTGTAACTAAAGCGTTGTTCGCTGATTTTCGACATTTCAATGGATTTCTTGATCTGCATTACTATGAATTAACTCCTGAAAGAAGATATTGACAAAACGCACATTTATTGCTTGATTAAGAAAAAGAAAAGCAATCTTGAAAGCTTTGATTTGTTTAAGATAACCGCCGTTGCTATAGAATATCTCTAGTCGACAATTAAAAAGTTGACACTAATATTTACATTGCGATAAAAAACCTGAAAGTTTTTCACGTTCAGACGTGTAGTTTTCATATAAACTGTCYACTTTTGTTCTATTTTTAATAGGTTTTATTGTCTCATTCTGTCCTCGTTTATTGATCGAGTGTTATGTCAGCAATGAAACTATTATATACGCTTTATAGCTATAACAATATAACTAATCCGTCAATCAAAGATTTTTGGGTTTTGCTGTGGGAATTAAAGCATCACTATTTGTTTTTAGSTCGAAACACTAAGCCTTTTGTYCSCAAACTGTGAAGTCTTGTTTCGATTCAAACAAACTTAAAGAAAACTTGAAATTACACTCACAATAAATAATGCCTAAATACTTTGCATTGGTGATCTTTTATATTRCAAATTTTGCGAAGCAATGCTAGCATACTCAATGCAGTAGTTCAATGTATTCTGTATGATTTCAACTGTCCAAAYATTTTATTTGAAAAGTAAAAATCAAAAATAAACACCACTTAGACACTGGAAACAGTGTTTTAAAAGTCTCCAAGTTTTAATAGTATTATGTCGAGGGATGTTGAATGTTCATTGAAAGTCTTAAGAAGAACAATTGTTTTCAAAATGTTTAGTTATGTCAGGTGGTGTTGTATTTGATCAGATGGCTCCCATTTACTCGCTAGCACACTGCAAACGTCAACGCACAAAGTCGTGAAGTATTACAAACAAAAAGAGTCGGATTAAGMCTATTATCTTTCCCCCTATAGAACACAAACTTAAGGTTTAGTGATAATAACGTTTTTCATTCACATTTATTTACACATTGATCATTTATGCAAACGCAAATGTTGATTGATTTTTCCTTCCCTTCGGCGAGAGCGAATTTCCCCTTGATTGTTGTACTTGCGGCTTAAGATGTTTTCGTGTAAATTCTAAGGTTCTTTTATCCTTAATTTAACTGACAAGACCTCCTCTTAGCTGAGATTATCGTTCAAGTATGTGAAAAGTTGACATAGCCTCCCCATTTTGCTTATATAGCTGATATCTTCTTGACAATTTTATGAATTCGCCAATYCACAAAACACCCAATACTATAGAGGCTATATGATTCTATCCAATGATTKCTCCTCATTTTCCGTCATTAACAGTAATTCTTTATTCTTAAATCGACAAAGTCAAAGTGTTGTTTGTTTTGAATGTTWMTACAGCTGTCGTCCTTGCGCAGGGCGGGCCAACCGCTAATTACAGCAAGCTAGTGTTGTTGCTATTGATTGACTATGTGGTTTTGGATATTATTAACTGTTTCCTCGTCGGGTTTTTTTACCTTTCAAACTTTTTGTCATATGCAAAATGGATCACATTAAACAATTTTATTGAATTCGATGTTTTTCAGTTGACTTGTATCTGATTGCAATGTCGTTGTGTTTTTTTAAATATATAAATCACTTCGAATGCTTGCCCAGCACTGGTAAGCTTAATAGGCACTTTATCAATTTTGGTAATTCTGAAATACCATTCTTAGTCTAAAAATGTTGATTTTTACCATGAATTGACAGCCTCGCGTCTTAATGATTCATTTTCTCGTATTTTTCTCTTGTTTTTCTTATTCATCAAATCGGATAACGTGATTTTACACACGACATACGACGTCCGCGTACTTTCCGCCATGTTAATCAGTTTGTTGCTGCAATAAATTGATTTTTGTTTGGTATTACATACCTTTATCTTGTTTTCATTGTAAATTCATATCTATATCTTTTTCCATACTCTTAGTCTTTTTACTAGAGAGYACAATTTCAATTATTCAAATTTTTGATTCGATAGGAAAATTTCAMATCAAATCGGAGCAACTCATCCGCGTTCTAGCAATTAAAATATATTTTACTCTGTAGCTTCTGGTTCATAGTCAGTTTTTTTAAGTTATTTCCTTTTTTTCAGTTTTACATCCTGGTATAACTGCATTTTCCGAAAGACCACGTTACATACATCGGTTTCACATTCAGTAAAAAACTCAAATCATGAGTACATCARCATTTTCAGTTCTTTCGAAACTAAATAATGTACTCAAAATCGATGCGGCCTTTCCTTGTCACAGATTTGTTCGTGAAAAACAAACTTGTTTGAAGATACGAAAAGATTTCCGTCAAAAGAGCTTTACACAATTTGATCCGTATAAGATTACCACATGGACRAGAATACAACGATGAATTAAAAAGACGGATCACTTTTCAAAGAAAACAACCATCCAAACACATCATGACCTTATCAATAGTTATCAGTTGRAGTTATTGCGTTCAAATCCAACCTATTTCAAGAAATGTGTTTCTCTCGATCGCAGGTCAATTACACAAAGAGGGAACGATAATTYATGSCATGCATGTCTCCGGTAGWWTGATGGTCCATGCCGCTTTAAATAGACACGCAGCGAGATTAAAGTTTCGGCTAGTTGGGCTTTGATAGTAAAACGCACCGACTGACAGTAAACGTAAGATTATCTTCRCCGAAACGTTGATTCCAAGAGCCGCAATAYATGGACTGCAAGTATAGGTTTGGAAAAATACAGTGTTTTCATTTGATATGCAAAATGTAACAGCAAAAAGATAAAAACTTTTTCCAATATTGTTCAATCTCGGGAATTSTAGTAAATTGGGGAAGTCATCTAGGTGAGGTGCCTTTAATTAAGGTTATGATATGATTACATGAATGATTGATACTGTTGTCAAACTAAAACTATAGATGACAAATGGAATCGAGCATTTTGTTACCAAGAGACAACTTACGAAGAACACAGAATCAATGATTCATGCCAAATWTCCAAAGCCAGGCTTCACTAGTGAATTTTGCGCTTTTTAGGTTAATTATCAGAAGYTTAAAGAGATAATTAATGAGTAATTGAGAGCCCTACAAAATGACTCTCCATTTTCACGAAGATTGATATAATTGTTTGTCTTAATTGTTTCAAGTTAAAACTCTATAATGAGATCAATTAAGCTGCATAATGTGTTTTAATTCCTCGATATTGCTGTAGTTTTTCATTTAASTGAACTTTGCTTTTCTTACCGTCCATTAGAGTGATTATTTTCTAGATTATCTTAATTTGTTTTGCATTATTTCTATTAAATATCACGCCATTAAGAAAATTTGTCTTATTTACTATACATTGTTCTTATTTTATTTTAAACTACCTTAAAATGTTAATTACGTCTTTTTCAATGGAATATACTTAATACAGCCAACCTTTTTCCATTTTACCAAATACAAGCTTATTTTGTTTCGCTTTAAGAAGTTCCCGTTCGTCTACTATGTATCTTTTTTCGAGTAACTTTTCAATAATTAAGTATCTTGCTTTTGATTTTTCAGTATACTGCTAGTGATTTTCAAATAATGACCAGTCAGTTCAAAATTCCATTTCAAGTAAAACAAGGAAAGCTACGAAAATTAAGTTTGTTTGTATGTAGGCCATAAAAACGACCTGACAAGCTCTTACATCAAGATGCAA